TTTGAGATGGAGTTTCACTCTTGTTACCCAGGCTGGAGTGCAATGGCACGATCTCGGCTCACCATGACCTCCGCCTCCTGGGTTCAAGTAATTCTCCTGCCTCAGCCTCCCGAGTATCTGGGACTACAGGTGTGCGCCACTGTGCCCAGCTAATTTTTGTATTTTTAGTAGAGACGGGGTTTTACCATGTTGACCAGGATAGTCTCGACCTCTTGACCTTGTGATCCACCCACCTCAGCCTCCCAAAGTGCTGGAATTATAGACAGGAGCCACTGCGTCCAGCCCTCTTTCTTTTTTCTTGTTTTGCTCTTGTTGCCCAGCCTAGAGTGCAATGCTGCAATCTCAGTTCACTGCAACCTCTGCCTCCCGGGTTCAGGCAATTGTCCTGCCTTAGCTTCCTGAGTAGCTAGGATTACAGGTATGCACAACCACACCCAGCTAATTTTGTATTTTGAGTAGAGATGGGGTTGCTTCATGTTGGTCAGGCTGGTCTCAGACTCCTAAACTTAGGTGATCTGCCTGCCTCAGCCTCCCAAAGGGCTGGGATTACAGGCGTGAGCCACCACCGTGCCTGGCCTGTTTTTCTTTTTCTTTTTTCTTTTTTTGTTTTACAGGTTCAGTGATCTGTGCAGATACATGCTGCTACCATGCCAGCTAATTTTTAAATTTTTTGTAGAGATGGAGCCTTGCTGTGTTGCTCATCCTGGTCTTGAACTCCTGGACTCATGCATTCCTCTGGCCTCATTCTCCCAAGGTGCTGAGATTACAGGCGTGAGCCACCACACCTGGCTGGACCTTTTTTTTTTTTTTTTTTTTTTTTTTTGAGATGGAGTCTCACTCTGTTGCCCAGGCTGGAGTGCAGTAGTGTGATCTTGGCTCACTGCAACCTCTGCCTCTTGGGTTGGAGTAATTCTTCTGCCTCAGCCTCCTGAATAGCTGGGATTACAGGTGCCTGCCTGGTAATTTTTGTATTTTTAGTAGAAACGGGGTTTTACCATGTTGGCCAGTCTGGTCTTGAAATCCTGACCTCAGGTGATCCACCCACCTTGGCTTCCCAGATTGCTGAGATTACAGGTGTGAGCCACCACACCCAACCCAGCCCTTTTTTAATGAGCCAATATGCTGATTGCAAATACATTAATTATGACTAAACATTTTCCATTCATTTGAAAAGATGTTATTTGCTCAATATAGGATTATTTGTTGATATACTTGTTCTTTTAGTTCTTTAAGGATATTGCTCCATTGTCTTCCAGTTTGCATTGTTTTTGATAATAAGTATGTAATCAATGTTACATTTGGCTATCTGTTGTTACGGTGTCTTTTCCCCCTGGTTTCTTCAAGTAATTCTTTATTATACCTGGTTTTCAGCAATTTGATGCTGGGTCTTGGTGTGGATTTGTTGATATATATTGTGGCTGTGGTTTGTTGAGCTTTTTGCATCTCTAGGTTCATAGTTTTTATCTGTTTTGGAAAATATGGGACTAATATTTGTTGCCTTTTTATTTTTTTGGATAGAGGGTCTCACTCTGTTACCCAGGATGGAGTACAGTGGCTCAAACATGGCACAGTGCAGCCTCATCCTCCTAGACTCAAGTGATCCTTCCAACTCAACCTCCCAAGTAGCTAAGACTACAGTTGTGTACCACCACGCTCGGCTAATTTTTTGTAATTTTAGTAGAGATGAGGTTTCACTGTATTAGCCAGGATGGTCTCGATCTCCTGACCTCATGATCTGCCCGTCTCAGCCTCCCGAAGTGCTGGAATTACAGGTGTGAGCCACTGTGCCTGGCCTATTTTGCAACATTTTAAAATAGTTCTTGCCAAATTTGACCCTGACTGAGTTATTGTAGAATAGAAAGCCTTGTTTCAGACGTTTGGAAAGTCCCCATACCAGTTTGAAAATACAGAGGTGATACTTGAGTGACTAGGGTTTTATACTGGGATCTCCAGCTGCTGACTTTAAGACTGGCACAGAGTTGGGGAGGGATTGGGCCTAGGACAAACAGAAACTCCACAAGGCTTTTCTGCCATTTTCATTTTTATTTCTCTTTATCTCTCTGTTAATAGTATGGGGTGCTGAATATTATAATTTCAAAATTCTTTATTTGTTTTTATAATGCTGCCACTTTCTTAATTAGGAAGTTTTAAGCATTTTTAGACATTTTTGACTTCAGTTAGATTTGGTAATGTCATCTTTGTTGACTAAAGGTCTGTTTTAGGGATTTAAGGAATATTATACATATTCATAAGAGATGACTGAGTTATTTCTAAGAACATGCACAGTCTGCCCTTTGTTTCCTTCTCTTTTGACATTACCCAATAATAAGTTTAAGATTTTTTCCTTGGGATTGTGAAGTATATTTTATTAGTCTTTTGTCAAACTTCACTATGTTTGATCTAGCGGAAACCAGTTGCCAGCTTCCAAATATTCTCTCTTACTGTAGTCACACATGCAGTGGGCCGGATCCCCCGATCACAAGTTGCAACTAAAAATATGAAATGTAATCCACGAGCATTGTTCATTAGAGACTCAGTGCCCAGAGTGTTTCCTCATGGCTGTTTTTCTCTTGTTTTAGCTGCTTTTAACAGAATAAGCGAAACTGGGTAATTGATAAGAAATCATACTTAGTTTTTACAGTTCTGGAGACTGTCCCAGGTCAAGGCTGGGAATCTGGTGAGAGCCTCTTGCTGTTGGGAACTCTGCAGACTCCTTAGGTAGCACAGGTATCACATGGTGAGGGGATTAAGTGTGTAGCTCAGATCTTTTCTTCCTCTCATGATGGCAACTGTGCCACTCCTGAGATAACCCATTTATTCATTCAGCCATTATGGATTAATTTATTTATGAGCTCCAAACCCTCAGGACCCAATCACCTTTTAAAGCCCCACCTTTGATTACTTCCACATTGGAGATTAACATTCAACATGTGTGTTTTGGAGGGGATAGACATTCAAACTTAGCAGTGGCTGATCAGGTAGGTACACTCCCTCTGCTGAGCATGAAACAAAATTCCAACTCTCGGAAGACTATAGGAGCTAAGTAAATGCCTTATTTTTTTTTTCATAAATAGTTTAGGTACACTCAGCCCCTGTTACTAGTCACATTGGTGGGGACCCTCCCGAAATCTAGTGCCTAGACACCATGAAAGGTCCAACATTGTATACAAGCATTTGTAAGTATATGTAGTCTCAGGACTACTAATGTTAACTCTCTTTTGCACACTAAGTAGTAAGACTTTGTCATAATAAGAACTTCAGATCCACTGGAGAAATAGACATTAAGGTCCATGTAATAATACTCACTTCACTCACCAAAAGGAGGCCTGTTCCAATTCAGCTGTTGCATTAGCAAACATTCAATTTTAGCCTCAGAATTGCTGTGTGGGAGACAGTGAGTGTAGTCAGAGAATGAAAGTGGATTTACCATGTCATTGAATAAATGCTTGGAAACCACACACCCAGGAAATTTAAGAATTAAGTATAGATTCTTAGTACTGTCAACCTCATCTTTCCTCATCTACGTATGTGGGATGTTTCAGGACTCAGTTGCTTTTGAGGATGTGACTGTGAACTTTACCTGGGAAGAGTGGACTTTGCTGGGTCCTTGTCAGAAGAATCTCTACAAAGATGTGATGCAGGAAACCATCAGGAACCTGGACTGTATAAGTAAGGACGATGTCATATCTCCACTTAGTCAATTAGGGACATTTGTTTCTTGATCTGCAGTGCTGTTCAAAGATTTGCAATATGGGAAAGGGGTATGATTGAACATGGAATAACACAGGGTTTAGGGGTGCCATCCTCCCAAGCAATTGCATATCCTGATGCAACTTTTTTCTACCACAGCTTAACTAATGTTCACTGGCACCCTGATTGGTCACATAAGCAGTTGATAAACATACATATTTATCACACAGCTTGAGCTACTAAAACAAAATACTAATATAAATACTAATCTATACCCCCATTGAAAGGTCACAGCAAACTTGTTACAAATTATTGGACTTAAATTGCAAAGGCATATTTCTGTGCTGTTTATTTTGTTGCACTGGTCTACTTCTGAGTCATTATGCTAGTACCAAACATTTTATTAGCACAGATTTGCAGTACAGTTTGAAATCCAGAAGTTAGAGCCTACTAACCGTGTGTCATATTTGTTATATACTGTATTCTCACAATAACATAAGCTAAAGAAAGAAAATGGCAATATGGGCTGGGTGTGGTGGCTCACGCCTGTAATCCTGCGCTTTGGGAGGCTGAGGCGAGTGGATCACTTGAGGCCAGGAGTTCAAGACCAGCCTGGCCAACATGGCAAAACCCTGTCTCTACTAAAAATACAAAAAAAAAAAAAATTAGCCAGGTGTGGTGGCACATGCCTGTAATTTCAGCTGCTTGGGAGGCTGAGGCCCGAGAATTTCTTTGACCTGGGAGGTGGAGGTTGCAGTGAGCCAAAATCTCACCAGTGCACTCCAGCCTGGGTGACAGAGCAAGACTCTGTCTCAAAAAAAAAAAAAGGCTGGGCGCAGTGGCTCAAGCCTGTAATCCCAGCACTATGGGAGGCCGAGGCGGGTGGATCACGAGGTCAAGAGATCGAGACCATCCTGGTCAACATGGTGAAACCCCGTCTCTACTAAAAATACAAAAAATTAGCTGGGCATGGTGGCGCGTGCCTGTAATCCCAGCTACTCAGGAGGCTGGGGCAGGAGAATTGCCTGAACGCTGGAGGCAGAGGTTGCGGTGAGCCGAGATCGCGCCATTGCACTCCAGCCTGGGTAACGAGGGAAACTCCGTATCAAAAAAAAAAAAAAAAAAAAAAAAAGAAAAGAAAATGGTGATATGAAAATCATAAGAGAAACTATAGTTACTATTCGTTAAGTGGAAGTAGATGCTCATAAAGGTTTTCATCCTTGTTGTCTTCACATTGAGGAGGCTGAGTAAGAGGAGAGATTGGTTTTGCTATCTCAGGTATAGCAGAAACTGAGGAAAATTTGTATATAAATGGACTTGAGCAGTTCAAAACTGTTTTTCAAGAGTGTGCTGTAGTTTGATGAATGAATTGTGCATGATTGCACTATAATATCTTACAGTTTTTCTATAATTTTGTAAAAAAAATTTTCTGGGTCTATCTTTTAGGAATGAAATGGGAAGACCAGATCATTGAAGATCAGTACAAAAGTCCCAGGAGAAATGTAATTTGCTGCCACAGGAGAAAGATATGTCTCTGGAGTCATTCTTCAAATGATAGGAAATTTTATAAAGAAGCAAAGAAAATGAACAAGCCCAGCTTAAATTTATTTATTTTAGAAGATTTTCTCCAAAAGTATATACTTGTTTCTTAGCTATTCAAGTGTTTGCATAATAGTTTCCATGGAAGCAACATTAAGAATCCCCACATTGCTGGGTGCGGTGGCTCATGCCTGTAATCCCAGCACTTTAGAAGGCTGAGGTGGGTGGACCACAAGGTCAGGAGTTCGAGACCAGCCTCACCAACATGGTAAAACCCCATCTCTACTAAAAATACAAAAATTAGCCGGGCATGGTGGCACACGCCTGTAATCCCAGCTACTCAGGAGGCTGAGGCAGGAGTATTGCCTGAACCTGGGAGGCAGAAGTTGCAGTGAGCCGAGATCATGTCATTGCACTCCAGCCTGGGCAACAGAATGAGACTCTGTCTCAAAAACAAAACAAAACAAACAAACACGAACAAGGTTAGTAGGCTCTAACTTCTGGATTTCAAAACGTACTGCAAATCTATGCTAATAAAATGTTTGGTACTAGCATAATGACTCAGAAGTAGACCAGTGCAACAAAATAAACAGCACAGAAATATGCCTTTGCAATTTAAGTCCAATAATTTGTAACAAGTTTGCTGTGACCTTTCAATGGGGGTATAGATTAGTATTTATATTAGTATTTTGTTTTAGTAGCTCAAGCTGTGTAAAACATAACCCCATTAAAAAATAGGTCAAAGACTTACTTTAATGAGCATATACAAATAGACAATAGTTACCTGAAGATCTTTAGCATCACTCATCATGAAGGACATGCAAATGAAAACCACAATGTTGGACGGGCGTGGTGGCTCATGCTTGTAATCTCCCACTTTGGGAGGCCAAGGTGGGGGAATCACGAGGTTAAGAGATCAAGATAATCCTGGCCAACTTGGTGAAACCCAGTCTCTAAAAAAATACAAAATTAGCTGGGTGTGGAGGTGTGTGCCTGTAGTCCCAGCTACTCAGGAGGCTGAGGTAGGACAATCACTTGAACCTGGGAGACAGAGGTTACAGTGAGCCGAGATCGCACCACTGCACTCCAGCCTGGTGGCAGAGGGAGACCCTGTCTCAAAAAACAAGCCAGGCGCGGTGGCTCACACCTGTAATCCCAGCACTTTGGGAGTCCAGGGCGGGTGGACCACAAGGTCAGGAGATCAAGACCATCCTGGGTAACATGGTGAAACCCTGTCTCTACTAAAAAAAAAAAAATACAAAAAAGTTAGCTGGGTGTGGTAGCACACGCCTGTAGTTCCAGCTACTCCAGAGGCTGAGGCAGGAGGATGCTTGAACCTGGCATCCTTCTTTCAACAATTTTGGCTAGACCAAGGTTGTGGTGAGCCGAGATTGCACCACTGCGAGACTCCATCTCACAAGAAAAAAAAAAAACACCCACATCCACACACTCTAGAGTGCTTCTAAGAACAACAAAATAAATGCTGACAATGATGTGAAATAATTGGGGCCTTTGTACACTGTGGGAATGCAAAATAGTACAACCATTGTTGAAAATTGTAGGATAGATCATCAAGAAATCCAAAATTGAAATAACATATGATCCACATTTCTGCTTTCTGGGAATCTACCCAAAATTACTGAAAGAAGGGTCTCAGGTAAGAAGGCTTTTATGTGCCAGGTGGGCATAGGGCACCTTCTTTCTGTCCTTCCCTGAAGCCCGGTGGGTCCTTGTCAGAGAGGGTTGTTGGCAGGCAGAAGGGTCTCAAATGTTTTTCCAAGGGCAAGAAATGGACTGGGTCATGTGAAGAAATACTTTTGAAAAAAAGTATTTACCTCAAAGAAGGTAAACCCATATTTATAGCAGCATAATTTACCAACAGATAAACCGTGAAAGCAACCCTCATGTTTATTGACAGATGGTACTATATGCATACAATGGAATATTGGTCAGTCTTCAAGGAAGGAAAATGTGACATATGCTACAGCTTGGTGAACTTTGTGGATATTGTGCTAAGTGAAATGGGCCATTCATATAAAGAAAAATATAAAGTCAGTTCACCTAATTCCTCCCGCTTTCCTCCAGATATGGACTCTTTGAAATATAGGAAATTGAGAAAATACAATGCAAAATTAGAGAAGATTGACTTGTAATTCTGAACCTGGGCTGAAAGTTCAAGAAATGGATGAAAAATATCATGACCTGCACAGGAAATAATTTTCTGAATTTAATAGCATAGTGAAGGTTGACAAAGATGTGGCTGGGCATGGTGGCTAATGCCTGTGATTCCAGCACTTTGGGAGGCCAAGGTGGGCAGACTGCCTGAGGTCAGGAGTTTGAGACCAGCCTGGCCAATATGGTGAAACCCAGTCTCTACCAAAAACACAAAAATTAGCCAGATGTGGTGGCAGGCGCCTGTAATCCCAGCTACTCCGGAGCCTGAGATGGGAGAATCACTTCAACCTGGGAGGCCGAGGTTGCAGTGAACCAAGATTGTGCTTTGAAAAAAGGTTGGGAACTGCTTCTTTAGAGCATCAACACCTTATTGTAATACAAAAATCCGCACCCATAGAAGAAAATCATGGTGGCTTTTTGAACATGTGTGGTATAAAGAGACATGTTTATGATTTGTGCTTGCACATGTGAAATTCCTTTCTACCCATACTACAAACCTTCCCATGCCGTACCTAGCTGCTTAAAATTCCCCAGCTTCCCGCAGCTCTAGGAGGAGGAAGTATCTTGGGAGCAAGAGACTCTGACCCCATCTCCTTCTCTGGCCAGAAAATAAATCCTGCTTGCCTTTTTTTTTTTGTTTCATTAGTTATTCTTTCATTGTGCATACAAACTAGAGAAAGAACTCAGTTTACCGGTGACACTTGTATTTCATACAAATATGGGAAACCTTTATATTTTCAAAAGCCTTGGCTTTTGATTGGAGCATTTAATTCATTAATATTTAAAGTCTTGAGTTAAAGAGCATGTCCACACTGTGCAGAGGACAGAGGAAGGCAAGCTGAGTTTCCTCCTCTTTAAATCCTTCAGTGCCCCTTCTTCATCACCAGGTGCTGATCCCATTGTAACTGGCAAAAGGGTCTGACTGCTTGCCGCTTGTGTAACAAAGTCAAAATAATAACAACTTGTGATAAGGAGTGAAATTTCTATATTATCTGTCCTAGCAGGGAAGAGCTGAAAGCAACCCCACTGTTCAATTTGTGGAGGAGATGCAGGGGTTTTTATAGGAAGGGTTTGGAATGCAGAAGAGGCCAGGGGGGCTAGGAGGTACCAGATGGCGTGACTTGCTCTGGTTGCCCCTCTTGAATTATTGTCCCATTTGGTGAAGGGACTACTCCATTGTGGACCGTGCCAGGTTATAAATTAGTCGCAGACAATCTCATAGTCAATCTTCAGCTGGGTGTGGGTTCCGTCTTTGAATTAATCTTTTGTTGGAGAGAGAATTCCAGAGGTGTTTGGTCCCTACCAGGATCCAACCCCTGAAGCGTCTAAGGAAATATATGACCAAATAAGAGAGCATAGTGTGTGCTTAATAAGTATTTAGGTAAATAAGTGTGCATAGGCTGGGCGTGGTGGCTCATTCCTGTAATCCTAGCACTTTGGGAGGCCAAGGCCGTCAGATTGCCTGAGCTCGGGAGTTCGAGATGAACCTGGGCAACACGATGAAAACCCCGACTCTAATAGAATACAAAAAGTTAGCTGGTCGTGGTGGCGGGTGCCTGTAGTCCTAGCTACTCGGGAGGCTGAGGCAGGAGAATCTCTTGAACCCAGGAGGTGGAGGTTGCAGTGAGCCGAGATTATGCCACTGCACTCCAGCCTGGGTGACAAAGCGAGACTCTGTCTCCAAAAACATAAAAATCAATATGCATAAGGCATGGCAGTATAGTATGGGAAAGGAAAGGGAGTTGAGGTTCACAGCACATTCTGAGGCTGTATTTTAAGATGAGAGGAAAAGGGAAAGAAGGAGGAAGAAAAAAAAAGATTTAAAATGCGGTTTGAGACTCAGCTGCTAAGCTGCTGGTTACATACTCTGGGACTCAATTTCAGGAGTCAGAATCTGGCCCCTAAACTTGGGAATATGTTTAACCTCCTGAAAGGGGGTTTCCTGCTGTACTGTGGCTGAAGCTTCTCTGAACTAATTTAGGTTTTTTTCTTTTCCCCTCTTTTGATTCCATTATAGAAGATTGCTGCCATATAATTCCAGGTTTTCCATGCACTTAACAATTTTATTTCATTGTTGATGGGTTTTTATTTTCTGATCTGAGAATGAGAGATAAGGTGGGTTAAAGGCTTGGCCATGCAGCCAGTAGCTTCATCCCAAATTCCTGATGCCCGGAAGACACCAGGCCTTCCCTCCTGCTTCAGAGTGGTTTGTGTGGCCTGGGCTCCCCTCCTGCTCTGAAGCCAGAAGACAGCTCCACTGGGCAGTGAGTCTGGAATTCTCTGCACACGTTTATGGGTCCCCGTCAAGGAAGAAAGAGCAGGAAGAGCCCATTGAGTACAGGCAGAAAATTCCGCTTAAATGCAAATGTATACTGGGAGGGGTCAGGTCATAGCGAAGGGCGGAAGCCGACCCTACCAAGGGCTGCATCTGGAACGGCTCCATCTGGAATGGCTCCAATCGGCTGTGCAAGAACACTTCTTCTGTCAATCAGTCCCCCGGTGGGGCGGAACTTGGAGCTCTACCCAATCATGGTTGGTGGCGAGTTCATGGGAACTGTCAATCAGGCGCGCTACCGGGAGGAGGGTGGAGCCTTCTCTGAGCTCCGGCTCCCGGCTTTGTTGCTAAGAGACTCTCTGGCAGGTCAGTGGCCGGTTCTGTCACACTCAGTCCTATACTGGCAGCGGTAGCCTTGGGGAGAACCCGGGAAATGGTGAGTGTGCGGGGCCCGGCGTCGTGAGGCAGGGTGAAGGGCTGGTTGGAACCGGCCAGAACCGGCTGTGGCGGGACCCGGGCGTCCCCGCGGCGACTGCGGGGTCTGTGGCCCCGAATTTCCCAGGCGCAGCTCGGGCTTCGGTCCCCTCGGCCGCAGGGTGGGGGTGGGGCTGGGCCGGCAACCAGGACCCCGGGCGTCCTGTCCCGTCCCTGCGCGGCGACTGTGGCCCCGGCCCCTGCCCCGGCGTCCTCTCGGCAGGTCGGCGCCCGCAGCCCCGCGTCTCCCCAGATTGTGCGGCTGTAACCGGCACAGGTTCGCGGCCCGAGTCACTGCACCGAGACGCCAAGAGCTGCAGCAGAAACAGTTTAATAGGGGGAGAGGGGAGGACACCCCAGATCCGCCTCCCTGAGGGATCTGGGGTCTGGACAGGGGCGGCTGGGGTGTGGGGTCGCTGGTTGGTGGGGAAATGAGGGGCGAATCCTGGGACGGGAGGTGAAGAAACTGCGTTCTCCCGCTGAGTGGGCTTTCTCGTGGGGCCTTCAGCCTGCTTGGCGCCAGCGTTTCCGTCGGAATTCAAGATCTGAGAAAGAACTCAGGCGACCCTTGAGGAAGCTGCTCTCCGAGATCTTATCTCCAGGCACAGTGGGGAAGCGGGCGGTCGGCGTCTGCAGTGACCTGACTCTCAGGGAGGCGGCCCCGCGGCCCGGTGAGGCGGCGGGGCTGAGGGCACCTGGTTAATATCAGCTGCAGCCGGGAGCGGTGGCTCAAGCCTGTAATCCCAGCACTTTGGGAGGCCGAGGCGGGTGGATCACGAGGTCAAGAGATCGAGACCATCCTGGTCAACATGGTGAAACCCCGTCTCTACTAAAACTACAAAAAATTAGCTGGGCATGGTGGCGCGTGCCTGTAATCCCAGCTACTCAGGAGGCTGAGGCAGGAGAATTGCCTGAACCCAGGAGGCGGAGGCTGCGGTGAGCCGAGATCGCGCCATTGCCCTCCAGCCTGGGTAACATGAGTGAAACTCGTCTCCAAAAAAATATCAGCTGCAATCTCGCCTCCAGTCTGGCCCTCAGATCCTGTGAACCCGGTGAGGGTGGGAGGGTCACCAGGCAGAATCCAGACTCTTGCGTGGGGTTCATGCATGGGCGGAGCTGTGGTCTGTGGGATGGCCAGTCCCTTCTTTTCTTCCCAGGGTGACTGATTCTTCCTCGAGTTTTTCAGAGATGAGGGCAGTAGGGCCTCAAATCCACCACCTATTCCCTCATCCTAACTTCTAGGGCTGATAGTAAATCCCTTGGTTTCCAGATCCTTCCCAGGCTAACTTTCTCTCCTCAATTCACAGCAACATCGTGAATTCCTCCCTCCCCCACCCACCCGTGCTAAATTTCAGAGTCCCAGTATTTTTTCATTTTGTTTTCAGAGAGCAATGTGTGGCTGCTGCTTCTGCTTCTTCTGCTTCTGCTTCTTCCTTCTCCCTCTTCCTTCTTTCTTATTTTCTTTTTTTTTTTTAATTATTTTTTTTTAATAAAGATGAGGTTTCACCATGTTGGTCAGGCTGGTCTTGAACTCCGGACCTCAGGTGATCCGCCTGCCTTGGCCTCCAAAGTGCTTGGATTACAGGAATGAACCACTGCGCCCGGCCTTCTTCTTTTTTTGAGGCAGAGTTTCGCTCTTGTTGCCCAGGCTGAAGTGCAGTGGTGCAATCTCGGCTCACTGCATCCTCTGCCTCCTGGGTTCAAGCAATTTTCCTGCCTCAGCCTCCTGAGTAGCTGGGATGACAGGCGCCCTCCACCATGCCAACTAATTTTTTGTATTTTTAGTAGAGACAGGGTTTCACTATGTTGGCCAGGTGTCAAACTCCTGACCTTAGGTTATCCACCTGTCTCAGCCTCCCAAAGTGCTGGGATTACCGGCATGAGCCACCATGCCCGGCTTGGCTGCTTCTTAAAAGATATGTGTTCCTGAACATTTCACATGTGAGGAAGCAGAGAATAACATGACCCTCCACTGTAAAAAAAAACTTTATGTCTCTCCGTTTCTTTCCCCTGGGTACAGATACCTTCTCAACGTCTTTGGGTTAAGAGTCCCCTTTGGAAACTTTACAGGGTTATGTCCTCAGCCTACCCTCTGCCTTTTCCTGGTTCTGTTTCAGAACTGCCTGAGGTTGACCCAAGATACACACAACTGTCCTGTCTCTGGGAGGGTCTAGTGAACATCAGCCCCTGGGTCGTTTCTCCCAGTGAGCAGCCTGAGGTGTTGGGATAGGGCTTCACAGAGAACAGCTGGATGCCCTGGGTGGGATGGGACATCATTTCTATAAAAAGCTAACCCTTGGGACAATCACCTTTCCCCCCCCAACCCCAGTTTCCATTCCTAAGGGACACAGGCTGGTCAGCCAATTGAATGGTCGTATTTGGGGAAGAAGACAGAAATTTCTTCCTTCCTGACTCTCAGACTAGTGAAGAGAGAAAACAGTATCTAAGCACTGGAGAACCCACGAATTCCGGTTGTATAAGAACCTCCCATTCAGGTCATGCCGTGCAACAACCAGAAAAGCACACAGTGTAGTATCTCCTGGGGTGGTGGGGGGTGGTCCCTGAGCACTTTACTGAGAAGCATGGGGGTGACAAATGTCCTAGGAGATAGGACCACCTGACCTAACACCTGAGTTAGACTTGTGTTCCAGTCAGCACTGCCCATCCCTGAGGTTTTCACATTGAAAAGAGGTATTCCCTCATTTCAGCTTCAACATTTTATTAACAATAAGATGTATCCTATCATTAGAGATTGATAGAGAAAATAAAGTATTTCCACAGAGGCCAGAAACAGTTAAATTTCAGAAAACAGATCATGTATATAGTCATCTATTCCTTTTTTTTTTTGAGACGGAGGCTCGTTCTGTCACCCAGGCTGGAGTGCAGTGGCACGATCTTGGCTCACTGCAGCCTCCACCTCCCAGGTTCAAACGACCCTCCCATCTCAGCCTCCCGAGTAGCTGGGATTACAGGCCTATACCACCATGCCTGGATAATTGTTTTGTATTTTTAGGAGAGATGGGGTTTCACCCTGTTGGCCAGGCTGGTCTCAAACTCCTGACCTCAAGTGATGTGCTGCCTCAGCCTCCATTTTTTGTAAAAAAAAAAAAAAAAAACAACAAAAGACCCTTCATTTACTTTTTTTCCCCCAGAGCCTGTCTGGTAAGTTTCTCTGATTATTTCAAATGGAATTTCAGGGCCTAGCAGTGAAAGTATGACCAAGGAAAAATGTTTGGTCATACTTTCTTTATGGCTGCAGGAAAAGTGAACACATATTAACAGAAAATGTGGTAGTTATTTGATTGAATTGTAAAGATTTACCAAAACTTTAGTTTCTTTCTTTTTAGGGTGGGGAATTTAGGACAATGGATAACTGTTCTGTTCCTATAACATATGCTTGACAGATTAATGCCAAATTCTGTGCTAATCCCTCCCCTTTCTTTGCTGTGTTCCTCTCTTTTTGGCTATTCTTAAGATATCCTTTATAACAAACTGATAACCTTAAGCAGAGGGTCTTGCTGAATTCTGTGGGTTGGCTTAGCACAGTATTGACCCTGAGGAGGGGGTCATTGATTTTATACACATTTGATTAAAAGATGGTCTCTGGGGCTTGCCCCTGGCATCTGCCTGGAGGCTGATGGGTTGTGATATTCAACCCTCAACTTGTGGGGTCTGTACTAATGTTGGGTGGACACCAGGTTTTGTTGGAGAATTTGTGTTCAGCAAATGCTATATGTTCTTTGTCAAAAGTTGTGTGAGGTGGCTGGGCGCGGTGGCTCACGCCTGTAATCCCAGCACTTTGGGAGGCCGAGGCGGGTGGATCACCAGAGCAGGAGTTCGAGACCAGCCTGGCCAACATGGTAAAACCCCTTCTCTATAAAAAAGAAAAGAAAAGAAAAAAAAAGTTGTGTGAGGTAACACTACAAGTTAGAAACATAACTGACATAGAGTTTGTATTTCGTTACTCATAGGTTCAGTGTGTATTCATCTAGAAGCATAGTTTTGCCTCTTTTCTGTTTTCAGTTAGTTAATATTACCATTAATATGCCATCAATATTATGCTGAAAAGCCAATCCTGCTACTGGGTATCTATCCAAAGGAAAAGAAATCAGAACATCAAAAAGATACCTACACTCGTCTGCATATTGCAGCACTATTCACAATAGCAAAGGTATGGAATCGACCTAAGTGGAGGATTGAATAAATAAAATGTGGTATGTATGCTCAATGGGATACTATTCAGCCATAATAAAAGAATGAAATCATGTCCTTTGTGATAACATGGATGGAATGGGAGGCAATTATCTTAAGCAAAATGATTCAGACGCAGAAAGATAAATACCACATGTACTCATTTTAAAGTGTAAATAATGTGTACACATGGAAGCAGAGTGTGGAATGATGGTCACTGGAGACTCCAAGAGGATGGAGGATGGTAGATGATGGGCGGTTGCTTCGTGGGTACATGTGCCTTGCTGCAGTGATGGATGCATTGAAGGCTCCGACTTCATTCACCACAATGCACTATATCACTGCGGCAACATTACAGTCGTACCCTGTGAATATGTACAAACAACAACAACAAAATTTAAAAAGGAATGTATATTTCAGGGTCCTACTCCAGTCCTACTGAATTAGAAATTCTGGGGTGGGGTGGTGCACGATGGCTCATGCCTGTAATCCCAGCACTTTGGGAGGCCAAGGCAGGTGGATCATTAGGTCAAGAGATTGAGACCATCCTGACCAACATGGCGAAAACCCGTCTCTACTAAAAATACAAAAATTAGCTTGGCTTGATGGCGGGTGCCTGTGGTTCCAGCTACTCAGGAGACTGAGGTAGGAGAATCGCTTGAATCTGGGAGGTGGAGGTTGCAGTGAGCCGAGATCACACCACTGCACTCCAGCCTGGCAACAGAGCAAGAGTCTGTCTTAAAAAAAAAAAAAAAAAAAAAAAAAAAAAAA